TATTATATGTATATGTATAATGTATATATATATATACAAGTGTAATCAATGTGTGGAGATTAGTTACAGAAACACTACAATTCAACAATGCTGTTTACTTGTGCCTGCGGTGTGCGAGCTGGGCGTATGCTGGAATGGTATCTGCTATATATATGTACTGAGCGCGCATGAAACATAGTGCGTGTGGTTTGCTCGAACACCAATTGCTTCTATTCTTTGCAGTGTACATAGGAGAGTCGTACAGCCCAGTGAGGCGCACATGTGTTAATATTTTGACATATCTGTTCTTTTCGACGTGTCGATAGAGCAACAGGATTATAACAGTATACAACCGTAACAGAATACAACCCTACTATTGTGATGGCTAAACCCTAAGAATTTTAAGGCCATCTCTCTGTTTCGGCACGTGTGAAGTACCAACTTGTAATTTGCGAAAAAATAACATTGGAGGCACTAGCTGTAACCTCTCTTACCAGTTGCACGTGTATATCGCATGACAAGCATTCGAGTCTATTTCTGCCTGCGTATGTGTGTTATGTGTTAGATACGGATTATATATCGAGGAAACAATGCACGCGATACAGGGTGCGCTGTTTATAATCAGTCCGACAATACTACTGCTGTAATACTATTGAAACGAGTACATTTCTCTGGAATATTCCTCTCAGTTGCTGTGGGGCGCATAGTGCAAGTGGATCAGAGGGAAGTCTGTGTTGTAGCGTATATACAATCATCGGTCCTTGGCTATACGTGCATGATAATAGTATAGTGCATGATAATATCTCCTTCAGCGGGGGTTGATCCTTGGTCAGACCCGGGTGACTCATGCCCATCACGATACATAGCGAGATTGCGTTCGTAACTTTGCAGTTCTGTACACGGGTTAGGTGTCCACATCGGCTCGCATTAAGCACCGGCGATTCGCCTCTAGCACATAAGTGCGTGTGGTGCTATTCTGTAGGCCGTTAGGACTGAATTCGGATGCGATCGCAGTCAAGTCTGGGAAGCGAATTGGTTTGATTTTGCACCGAGTTCTTACAATGATGAGAGTATTATCGGTATCACATCACAGTCAGCCAAACGGGGTGTTCGCCATTCATACAATTGATTGTATAGGGCTCATGGCCAGCGTACCCGAGTACTGTGTGTGCACATAATGTATGTATGCTATGCGAGTGTTTCTGATATCGGTTCATACCGCCCACTCTCCTGATTTCAATCACTGTTTTCGGTCGACAGACTTGAGAGTCGGTCGAAGCCGAAGAAGGACAAGAGCGGCGCAACAGTATTGGACGGCCGCGTCAAGGACAAGAGGTCTCTACAACCCCTCAGACGTATACACAAGATATGCAAAGGTAGCCGCAGCTCAACGCACAATGCCGATTGTCAGGAATATGTCGAAGCCGCCACAGAATATATTGCGAGAGAAGCCGTTGCGGGAAGGATTTGGAAGAACCGCTGTGGGGTGTTGTCTGCTAGAATGGAATTGGCCCACCGATTCAGAAGAGAATTTGGATTGAACCGGCCTGTAGCGAAAGCTTTGATCACATCGCTGAAACGCCGGAAGGTGTTGTGACCGGGATGATTCGTATATTCGAATCAGAATGTAGGAGGGCACACTGTAGGAGGGCATAGGGTAGGTACTATTTTTGTTTTGTTTTGTCGTTTCGTCATTGATTCACTGTTACTCATGACAGAGATGGGGTGCGACTCTTTAACACCGTAGGGGATTGATGTAGTACCCACTAAGGATTCGTAATTTGGCGCACACTTCACAAATGGAGCGTGAAACGAGCGAGACTATCAGAGTCCTCGGGACATGATGTTCGCCCAGAGACGAAGTGTAATGGATGTCGGTATAGAAAAACGTAATGTTATGAATTTCTGGGTATAGAAAAACTAAATGTTATGAATGGCTGGGTGTAAAAAAACGTAATGGTATGGATCTCAGTATAGAAAAGCGTAATGTTATGAATGGCCGTCCAAGGGACGCAATGTTTTGGATGTCTGTGTAGAGAGGCGAAATGCCAAGCGTGAAATAGGAACTTCACGCTAGTTAGAGAAACAATTATTTTAATAGTGAGATTAGTAGAAGTTGGTGAAAGTTTAGAGTAGAATTCTGGGCCCAGATATTAGTTCACAATTCGGGGCAGTGATTGATTGTGTATGTCCAGTCTCGTCCGACCGTCCATCTAGCACTGCATGGATACATCTGAGCCAACTTCGACGTGATGTACTACCAACTCATACTGAGTGACGCGGGTTCCCAGCCTCTTGGTTAAATTGCTTCTAAAAAAATACGGCGACGACAACGTAGATTCTACGTTGTGCAGAGTTGATTGACCTATAAGCCGGTACATGTGTGCGCGAAAACCACAAATAATCAAGGCCCAGGTAAATATAATAAATAAAAACCAGGTATATGACACATAATAAAAATCAGGTATATTACACATGATAAAAACCAGGTGTAGTACACATGATAAAAACCAGGTGTAATACACCATTCCCACGCATAATATCGCCCCTTCTCCATTCATGCATAGAGTAGATGCCAACGTACATGATGATGAAATACATTCTTTATTGGCTTTATTGCCCCCCTCCCCCACAAATCATTCTTCTACCAACACGACTAGTGGTCCGGCGTCTCATACTTTACTTCAGCTGGTTGCTTGCGCTTTTTAAACCCACAAATCATTCTTCTGCCAACATAACTAGTGGTCCGGTGTCTCATACGTTACTTCAGCTGGCTACTGGCGCTTTTAAACCCACAAATCATTCTTCTGCCAACAC